AACATTTCCATGTCCGATTTCAACATGAATTTTAAACACGAAATTCTGACCCCAAAACTTCTTCTTACTGCAAGATGCTGGGGCCACAAACAAGCTTCCTGCAAATGAAAGCATTCTGTGTATTTGGAGAAATAAAATCAGTAAGAAGTAGAAGATTTCAGCAACAAACTGTGCCAGACAAAATTCATTTGTGAAATTGTGTTCACATACGTCTTCTGTGAGAATATTCTTAATTCTGATTTTCTGTAAACAAATGCTGTTTGTTCCTTCCACTCCAGATACTGACTGGTGCAGTCCATGATTGTTCCTGGGCTAACCCAGTTTGTCATCTACGCTGGCACCAGTCTACCCTTTGCATTCTTTCAAACATGTCCCTAAACAGATTCCTAGGCTTTTTTGTTTGTTTGTTTAATACACCCTCTCCCCTTCCTCCCCTCTGATTTGTATGCCCTATGTTCACTTCCCCTTTCTAACAAGCACTACTTAGAAGTGGAAGATGGTTCTCTAACCAGTGGGGACTCCACTTTTTTCTGTTTGAGTTGTCGCAATCCTTAAATGCTGTGTTGTACTCTGTTGTGTCTCTGTGCAAGATCCTGTGAGCAAAATGCCAAAATACAAGCTGCACTTCTGTAAAATATGTTTCCACTACTTTTATTCCTGCTTGAAGGTCTGGGTGTAAAGCACTTTATTTTCCAGTTCCTGAGAAGCCAGAAAAAAATGTTTCAGTCTAGCCATAATGTCCTTCTAATAAATTTGCATGTCCCCTAAAAGACATGCAGATCATAACGTGAACATCTCTTTGCTTACTAAAGCAAACTGCAAGCATATCACAAATTATTCTGATCTGCAGCTTACCTTTGATATTGTGACTTGACCAAAAGATTGTCACTTTGAATTGCTGGTGTTGCCAGGTTCTGTAATTCCTTTGCAGGTTCTTAGGCCAACATTGAGAAAACAAACACGCTGTCCTTTTGCCACCATGCTTTCTGTGAGGTCAGGCAGAAGATGCCTCTTGCTTCCTTCAGAGAAATTCATCTGAACGTGTATCAAAATTCATATTCCCAGTTATATATGGTCTGGGAGAAGACACTAGGACCAGCATAGGCCCTGGAACATGCAAACTGTCCTTTTTCTTCCCTACATCCCAAATCTTATGCATATTTTCTTTTTGGTCCATTTGTTACAGGTGGGGATTCAAATTAGTTGTTTTCAATCAAGTTGGTGCTGGAGAGAGTACCTGATTCTCAACCGCTTCTGTGCAGCCTTATGAGCGCAAGGAGGAGGATGGCTGATGACAATTAGCCCAGGATTAGCTTGAACCCTTATAGGAGTTGAGAGACTTGAAGTTTTCTAATTTATCCATAGATGACCACGGCCAATTCTGATTTTCTAGAGCACAGAGATGATCCCTTTCGCTGCGTTGCAGGCACTGATAGTGCTTTGTGACACCCAGTGAGTCTGTTTATCTAAAGTAAGTTAATTATTCTGATTTTTATAGTAGTCTGGAGCTGCTCACTCTAAATATAGCTAACGAAAAGATGCTGCATCAAGATCAATACCTGATTTATAGAACCTTGTTTGCATCAATGAGATTTGATTGTGTCTGTCTATGGCAGGCAAAGCAGGGTGTGAAATGCTAACAAAAGACTCCTGTCAGTCCACTGGGGCCAAGCCTTGGTAGCTCCTGCGAATGTTGGCTTACTGCCATGATTATTTTCTTAACTAAAATAAATGGCTCTTGCACCAAGTACTTTTTTTGGTTGAGGAAGTGATATAAATTGACAACTAATGAAATTGCTTTCCCTCCCCTTTGGTGCTGGAAGTTCAGCTTATGTATTAGTAATGTATTAGTTCTCAATCCTACATGAATCTTAGAATGTGGTTCACAGTGGAGAGATGGTAGTAAGGGAGAGCACAGGAGGTCCTCAGGCGCTTTCTAACTTTTTGCTTATTCCAAAGGACAGCCACCAATGCAAGCTCTAAGTCTGTCTGCATGCCTAGGGATGGGCATTGCTAGATAAAAGTACTTCAAGTGATTACAGGTACTCATGTGCCTAGTAAAATACAATTTGTCGGTATTTGCAGAACAGGGATTCAAGTTTAATCTGCCCTTTGCGTCCTTACATTTTGTTATTTTAAATCATCTAGCATGCATTAAAATCATCATTTGCATTAAAATTTGGCACAAAAAATTGCCATGCCAAGTGCTAACGTCCTGTTGTTCTTAGCTCTTAAAAGCAGCGACATAGTCAGACTTAATGTCTGTTTATCAAGAAATATTTAAAAGATTGGTGCCAGTAATGAGTAGTGTTTAACTCCCATATAAGGTGCTGTAAAATTAACATTAACCAGACCTGCAGTTCTGTAGATGCAAATCTGTACTTCATATTTCATCACAGGAAAATGTTTTAGAATGTGTTGTGCTGTGTGTGACACCACAGCTTGACATTTGGGGAAGTAACTCTCTGTTTCAGTTGTATAGAATTAAAAAAAACCAACCACAAAACACAAAAAAACCCAACCATGAACTGCCTTTCGTTTAAGCAACATTTCAGCAATACTTTTATAAGCATCAGTGTTTCCATGCTTCTTTTCCTTCCCTTAGGGTGTGATAGCTTTAGAAAACCTGTTGACACAGATGCAGTACATTATTGCAGGAAACACAGACGATGCACACAAATCTATATTTCTTGCTTTTCCCTGTCTTCTGCCGTCTTCTCATTTCCCCTTTTAATATTTCTTATTCTTCCCCTTTGTTGTCCGTTTCCTCCTTTTGCTTACATAAGATCTTGAAAATTGGTGGGTGATGGTTAAAGTCATCAGTGTGCATTTCTATCTTGCATTTTTCTTATATCTATGTAAGAAAGCCTAGGAGAAGGGACAGTGCTCTGTCACCCATCCTGTTTTGTCATTGCTTGTTCTTTTTTTATTTTTCTTTTCTTTTTTTTCCGTTTGAATTTTCCCTCTGCTTGTTCTTTTTTTATTTTTCTTTTTTTTCCGTTTGAATTTTCCCTAGCTACAGTTCAGACATTTCATTCTGAAGCTCTTAGATCTAGGACACATATACTGTCTACTGTCCTTGTTCATCATTTTCATAGGGGTAACGAACAGAACAGAGGTTTCATCCTTTTTAGCTGTTGCCACAATGCAGTTATTTAGTTTCTGAGGGAAAGGTCTGAGAAGCATTGGACCTTTTACGTCTAGGAAATGGCTGTTGTGTAAGAGAGAGAACCAGTAAAGCCAAATTGAAATTGTATGGTGTTATTAAAAAATAAGATCTGGGAGGAGCATGGGATACAGTTACAAATTGGAAGAAAAATCATATATACAGTGTCTACATGCATTCGGCAATCTAGAAAGTTTAGACGGATTAATTTTATGGTTATACTTTTACATACACTTAGCCCCAGAAAAGCCTGAGACAGAGGACTACAGAAATGTTTTGCTTAGTAGTTATGCCTTGGTAAATACCACTTCATAAACATGTGCTGTGGCATGGCTTTTGCTAGGGAATATGCAGAGGTATTTGAAAACATCTTTTAAGAGCCACTCCAAGACTGTGGGGTGTGCTGCAAAATGGCAGCTTATACAGTTAAGTACCATCCTCCTTTCTCAAGCCTTTCAGCGTATATGCATTTAGACTGACATTTCTAAAGCCCTTAAGTTAACTTTCTAAAATTAGATCACTATTATGAGTAGGCTTTTAGATACTGGGGTAACAAAGACTACATCTAGCAAAAAACAGGCAAAAAAATTTCTAGCAATGGTTCTTTACAGAAAGGCAAAGGCTTATTCTTGAGACATAAGGAAACCTACTGTCTCATTACTCAGTTCTCCCCGTATAATATACTACACAAGATTTTGTGTATGCACACTTTATTGTACAGTATTAACCTTTGGCAGTAAGTTCATCAGTTTCTCTGAGGATACAAAATAGCCTGGGCTAAGTGTGGTCTAAGTAATGCATTGTCCTGATGGACCAAACACTGCTTCAACCACAAATTAATCTATATAAACATATAAAGTATAGTGTAAGAACCTGAAATACAGCTACATGCTTAAGATATTTAAAAGTAAACAAACCTACATACTTAAGACTTCAGATATTTAAAAAGAAACCAATACAGAACAGTCTGCATAATTAATTTCTCCATTGAGTTCAGTGGACTTCAGCAGTTGAGCTAATAAAATTATGCAAGATACATGTTTCTTCTTCTGTACTCATCTTACACTTTCTGCTTGGTGCTCTTGAAATGTACCTTTATTGAATTTTTTTAAAAAATGTTTATAAGGATGCTTCTTTTGCAGTTTATGCAATTAAATTTGTACCTCTCTGCATTAAGGTTATCTTTTGTTGACTTGGATGCTGCTGATAGTCTCTTCAAAACTGCCCTAAAATAAACGTTGCCCACTTAGTGGAATTTTAAACACTATAGCTTGTTTTAAGCATTTGAACAGAACACCATGTCAGTTGTACATTTCATAAATAAGACTTGGTCACTATTTGTCGTTTTTCTTAAATGCAATGATTTCTGTGCTACTGCATTATTTTCCTAATTAGTAATGAGTACAAGTAAGTACGAGAACACATTGCAGACGTTGGTCACTGTTTTGTTTCTTTATTCTTTCCTTAATTCTGTATCACTTGACAAATCTGATATTATTAATAAAAATATATACAACGTACGAGTATGTGTGGATGCATATGACTGAAACTACGCTTTGCCTCAGGAATGGATGGCAACACTTCAGTTGACTTGGTGAACTATGAAGACCATGTTAGGTGTGCACAAGAGGCAGCTTACATCAGTTGGCTGATGTAAGTCAGCTGATCAGTTGGCCCATTTCCTTCAGAACCCATGCTGCTGGGTCGAATCTTTTCATCATGTTTTTCATTGACAGAAGCATAGCACAAATTCATTCAGCAAGCAGCTTTAAGGGCTAAGGAAAGGAATTTATTTGGATTTGAGGGCTGTATGTGTATGCTGTGTTTAGAAGGCATGATACTGATACTGTTTATTTTTTCTTTTTTAGGGCAGGTTAAAGTGTTCAGGGCCCTGTATACATTTGAGCCCAGAACGGTAAGTACATCTAGATTTTAGGGTTTTGAAAAGCTTAATTTTAATCTTGTCTGTAATAATGTTTCTTCAGTTCTGCTAGGGTTGGCCTATTAGACTTACTGTACTATGTTTTCAATGAAAAAGCCTGTTGATGGATATTTGTTCTTAAGGTGACTAAAACTGCCCGATTAATCATCACTCTCCTTTAAGTCCAGCTCTTTTTAAAAGCAGCATGCTTTCTTCTCTAGTATCAGTTACCTGCAGTCTAAGATCAGCGATCTAAGTGATTTTTTTTTCTTTTCTTCTAAAGGCAACAAAGATAATTGAGAACTAAGAGATTTGATGAACTGGGACCAACCAAAAAGGGGATGGAATTAACAAACACAAGATATATTTCACTGCTTTTTTTGCACAGTGCTCTGTTGGAAAGGCCACAGTCTTTTTCTTTAGCTGTCAGGAAGGTCACATCCAAAAAGTTAGCTGTAGCCAAGTCAAACTACAGTATGAAAGACTGTGAGGCTGTTGTCTAGTTGCTAAAGAATTTGAGTTATTGTTCTTTTGAAAGAAGAGCTGAATGTACTCTGCTTTATCCAGGTATTTGTTTTACCTAAGTACACACATACACACATTCAGATTTTTGTTTACTCTTCCTTTTTTAATTTTTTTTTTTTTTAAAGCCAGATGAACTGTACTTCGAAGAAGGAGATATCATTTACATCTCTGACATGGTGAGTCTAAGACATCCCATACAGACTGAATACTTCTGAGATGCAGCATATCCCTTCTAAAATATTTCCCCTTTTCTCTGCAGAGTGATACAAATTGGTGGAAAGGAACTTGCAAAGGGAGAACTGGACTCATTCCAAGCAACTATGGTAATGTCTAGAATATTTTCATTTGGTAAGATCATTCACAATCAAAGGAAATCACTAAGTAAAAATAACTGATACACTTATGTTCAAAAACTGATCACAGTATTGGCATTTAACAGTCCTCTACCAGAGTATTTCAGAATACATCTGCAATATCAGTCACCACTGTATATCAGCAGTGGACAGGCTGTCTTACGTTTTTATGACCTAGAGACAGCCTGGGTTTGCCAAGTGTTCATGTTTCTGGTTGTGTAGGTAACAGCAATGGATGTTCTCAGTTTTGAGGGGAAGAACACTTGGATCTAAAGGATGGTTTTACAGATGTCACATGAAACTGATAGGCTTGTATTCTTAATACACTCAATGAACATGGTGCAGTTTTTAAGATCTTCTAATTAGCAGTATCTTGGCTATATTCCTTCAGTCTGTACGTTGCCTTTTTTTTAAGCAGACCTAAGGATGGACAGCCGCAGCCTTTAGTAGCTTTGAGATCAAGAAGTCTGACACAGCGTGAGGTGGCTTCTTAAAGAGATAGATAATCACTACTGGAATTGTTAAGTAAACCTGCATATAGACAGGAAGCTAAAGCAGATTGTGAGCAGTTCTGTAGACCTCCTTTGATTTCCGCCCCCACACACACTTAAGAAATAGGACTGGTTTTTTTGCCATTTGTTGCTTTTTAATGAATATATTCAGCCACAGAAAACATTGTTTTCTTGGGGATTGCACCACATTAAATATCCCACACCTGTTTGGACTGAATAGAAATTGCTTTTTCAGATTCAACTAAAATAACTTGGAAAAGCCATGAGTACAGACAACACAGCCCAATTCTTCCAAGTCCTCCTGGGAAATGTAGGCAGAGTAGCAGTGTCACATGACAGATTGCATCAAAACTGCTAATACATTAGTAACTGTGGTTGCTTCATGTTGTCCGTTCTTCACTAGGAGACATGGTAGCAATGCTGTGATTCCCTGCCCTGATTTGTAGTTAGCAGAAATACATGAATAGAAACCTATGGTGCAGTTATTGAGACCATGGCATCAAATTTCACTTTGGTTTGTGACTTCCAGACTGATTCTACTCTTGCCATCTGCCAGAGGTGGTCACTCTTATATACAAGAAGAATAGTTTACACATGCTTACCCACACTCAAATTTCTATTGAACATTAAAATGTGTTATACGTAAAATAAACCCAACAACTTACTAATTCGGTTTGTGTTCCTAGTGAGATCATTTGGAAAAGTTGCTTCCAGAGTGCTTTACTGAAAAGTTATCTGAGCAACAGTTTAACTTCCATTTTAGGCCGCGTGGGGGTGTGTAGGGTGGTGGTGTCTCTGTCTGCACATTTGCAAAAATTTCATGTGTAAGCAGAACAGAAGGCTCTGCAGACCCTAAGAACGAAGAGTACCAGGAACGTGTCTTCTGATTTAGACAAACTCTGCAAAATCCCCAAAGGCCTGCTTCTGCTGGTTGCCACCATTAGGACTGCCTAGGTTCAGTCTTATCCATTGAAACACTCTGATCTCCCGTGCTCTTCTACAACCTTTTGGCAAAAGGTGGAGACAGACCTGAAACTAGAGTCTCTGGTGGGGTCTTGTGTTCCATCTGTGGCTTGAAGGAACACGTTTGAAAAGACTGTGAATAGAAAAGCTGATGAAGACAGAATCAGTGTTATCTGCATTAAAAATACTTATTACTGAACTGACAAGAATTTTCTAAAGACAAAGTTATTTTTAGGCTTTTGAGACAGTAGTGTTAGTGTTAATGCTTTCTGCTGTGCACAACAAGCACGGCTCAATACGAGTAGCATGTCTGCTTGTGTAATGGCTCTCTGCTCTGGGACTGGCTTCTCCCACTCTGCTTTAGGATTCTGTTCACTGCACAAATTTTTTTAAACTGAAATATCAGAATCTAGCATTTGCGTTTCATTTTACTCACAGCTAGAGAGATAAGCATGTGAAAACTTGCAATTACAAGCATTATGGGAGGAATACACACAAAAGTAAGAAAAGATCTGAATAAGCCACAACAGTCTTGAGACTTTTATTTCTGGTAACTGACGTACGTTATATTTGCCTGCATTGCATCTGACTGCAGTAACAGTTTGATCTGAGGAACACGCTTTCACATTCTCCCTGCCTCCTGTAACAAGCAATAGTGCAAGGGCTTGGAGAGCCTACTCATCTCAGATTGTACACTCTCCTACTTGCCTGTACCCTTAGTAGTCACAGGGTTTTCCACCTAAAAAAGTTTTTAAAAAAGAGTTTCCAGATCATGGTCCCTCTTCCAACTGTTTCACAGTACTGTTCAGTTCCTTTTTGCTGTTGCAACAGCACAGTGACCAGGAACTGTTTGCTGCTCCTCTTTAGTAAAACCTAAAGCTTGTGAGATGAAGAAAAGGTCTACAGAAGCCTGAACTTCAGTCTGCCCGTCACTACATTCATTGTTTAAGCAGTTTTGATTTGCAGACCTCCTGCAAGTTTTCTAGGGAAAATAAAAAATCTCCATAAAACAAATAGGAAGCCTATTGACAGTGGATTTTTTTAGTTACCCTTTACAGACCCCTTGGAAATAATTAACTCGTAACTACAGATGGCAAGGTGTAGGTTGAAAGCCTAGCCACACGCAACTGCTCAAAATCATCTTAAAAGTGTAGAAAAGGAAGTAACAACCGAGATGAAATATTGCCAGATTCCTGGTGGCTTGCAACCACTGATCAATTTGATGCTATTCTTTGAAGTTTTCACAAGCTCTTTTCTGAATTGCTTTCCCATACACAGGAAATTGAAGTGCATCTGACTAGTCCATCACTCACAAATCCCCTTTCACATTAGAATCAAATATGTATTACTGGTTCTTCTGGAATAAATCAAAGTTTTATTTCCACACAGGTGTCAAATATCTGTTCAGTTTCAGAAGTAGTTAGAATTTACTCTCTCTTTCATTTCAGTGGCAGAGCAAGCTGAGTCTATTGATAACCCACTGCATGAAGCTGCCAAACGTGGTAAGTGTGATTTGGGTTTTAGTTGTGTAATGCTAAAGGATGATTTGTTTGTTTTCTGTGAAAATAATATATTTAGAATGAAGATGTCCTGTCTGTTTTGGTTGTCTGGTATCTTGAACCAGTTATCTGGTAAGTTTTGCAGCTTTCAGAAGCTGAGCTGGTTTACAGCCTGGTAGAATTGCTGCTCTGTGATTGTATACACAGAAAAAGAGTTTGGTATCATCCATTTAACTACGTAGGGATCTAAAGGTCTTCTGGGAGTGGAAGAAAAGATGTCTGGTATGACTTGGACTGGTTGTTTTATGAATTATAAGTGTTGCTGCTAATCACTTTTTCTCCTCATAAGTTCATAGAAGGACTGACACCCTTCAGAAAGAATTACGTGCCTTTAATGGTTCTGTTAACTTTACAAAGAAAAAAAAAAATCAAAACTGAATTTGTCTTTCAGGCAACCTAAGCTGGTTGAGAGAGTGTTTGGATAATCGAGTTGGGGTCAATGGCTTAGACAAAGCTGGAAACACAGCTCTGTACTGGGCATGCCATGGAGGCCACAAAGGTATCGGAGAATTAGTTTGAAATTACTGTTTTCTGGTTTTCTTGATTTGCTTGTTACACTGGTTGCTAAAATTGCAGTACTAAATAATAAAGCCAGGATTTTTATAATGTCATTTTAGCTTTCTTAAAAGAAAAGTCAAAGCTAGAAGGGAGGTTCAGCTCCATGAAATGCTGTGTGTTTTGTTGTTGCTGTTGAAGCAGGCATTCTAATCAGCGTAACTCTTAGAAGCAGAGTGGGAAGAAGGACAGACCAAAAGGAAGTGTTGTATTGTTTTGAGTATTTTATGCACTAGCATTTCTTTGTGACTAATGGTTGTTTGCTCAATGCGGTCTGACTGTTACAGATTTTCATTAGCCAATTGGATCGCTCTTTCATTGAATCTTAACCGAAATTTATACTATGAATGCAAAAAAACCTACTTTGTTTCCACTAAATTTTTCTTTTTATTCCCCCCCCCCCCCCTGCAGATATAGTGGATGTTCTGTTTACCCAGGCAAACTTAGAGTTAAACCAACAGGTATGTTAAACCAACAGACCCTTACAATAGAGGTGTGATGTTATTCATCCTTGGTACAAACTGAAAGTTTTTTTGCTGTATTTTAATCCTGTTGCTTTTTCCTTTAACTCCACAGAACAAATTGGGAGACACAGCTTTGCATGCTGCTGCATGGAAAGGTTATGCAGATATTGTAGAGATGCTGCTGGCAAAGGGTAATGATCTTCACCAAGGTTTCAACAATCTTGTGTGGCAGACTAGCTTCTTGAATGTTTATTAATCTGTATTTTTTTTTAACTGTTTTCCTATAACCCAGGTACAGTCCTTAGTCAGCTTACCTGCCTGACTTTATAAGCCTTGCAGAAAATTCTGGCAGCTGTTTGGAAAGCAGACATCTCACCTGCTCAAGATAATTTCATCCTGCTTTGCAGACAAAATTAGGCACTTAACCCCAGAACAGCACTGACATCTGCTTCCTGGAAAGGGAGAGCAGCAAGCAAGTTCCCTAGCCAACTGTAGCTTATGGAAGTGCATCCATAGCTTTTAGTCTGCTTCAGAGCAGTCCACAGATGAGATTCCCTTGTCCATTACTGTTCTACCCATGCTACTGAAACTCGTATCGTAATACCATTGCTCAAGAAATAGCTGGCACAGTGATTCATGATGAAAATTTTCTATTATAAAGGGGCAAGAACAGATCTGAAGAACAATGAGAAGAAACTGGCTTTAGACATGGCAACCAATGCAGCTTGTGCTTCCCTGCTTAAGAAGAAACAGAGTGCAGGTATTTCTGACACTTTGTTGTTCTGATACATTTTTCCTTTTTAGAGGACACTTTTTGACCAAATAGCAATATGTTGATAGCCATAAAAACCAGTTGGGAGCTACATGGGCTAAGAGTTGTGTTTGGAACAGTTCGCTTGAGAGGGTTAGTTCAACAGAGCTATGATAGAGACCTGTGGTTTATCGCATTTAGTGTTGCTGACTCCACACAAAATGCCATCTTGTGTCAGCAAGAGGCAAAAGAGTTCAGAAGATGTAGAAATAGTAAGGAAATGGAAGACAGGCCCTTCAGAGTGGAGAGACAGAAAGAAAGCAAGGATGGAAACAACTTTAAAAGCAGTATACCATAAGGGACAGAGAGTGTGAGAGTAAAACGATGTGGTATGTTCCCCCTTACGCCTGTCTGTTCCTCCAAACTAAGCCAAACAAACACCAACAGACACTCCTCTTTTATTTTCTTACTGCTCATTTTTAAAATTTCTTATTCCTATGTCTCTCTTGAGTGGCTTTCTAATAGAGAAATAAAGAAAGAATGCTTTCAGGTGTTTATCAGAATAGTCTTACTGCAGTCTTACTGCCTCCCACATGTGTTCATCTCTCCTAATAGCACAGTGTCCATGTACGAAAGTGTTAAAGAGATATAAGGCTAATTTAAAAAGCTGAACAAAGACTGAATTGTTCAGTATTGCATAATTAATGTTACCTGTAGCTTTCAGGAGGCTGAAGTTAGGGTAGAAACCCTAGGTGAATTACACGTGAAATGAGAAATTACTTAAAAACACAGGCAGAGTTACAGCTTGTATCAGTGGTGTAATCAGTCTAGCAACTGTATTGTCGCAGGGCTGACAAGAACAGAGGGAGTGCTAAGCTGTGGGTGGTTAGCGGTTATAGGAATTAAATGGTGACATAGCTGACTGCAGCTTTGGAAGGCCAAGAAGAGCAGTGGCAGCAAAAATACTGTCCAGCTTTTTGATAGAGGTAATATCAGGATTTCCCAGAAAATCTTGACAAATTATTTCCATCGGTTTTGACTCTGAAGAAAGCAGTTGTAACAAAGGGCAGAATTTATTCTGTTTCCATATTTTTTTCTGTTGTAAATTAATCCCTGTTAGGAGCACTTATTTCCTCTTAGCCTGTCAATCGTAGGCACCTGGTACAGGAGTATTCTCTGTTCTAATGTCCCTAATAATTGTATTAATGTTTAATTTTCTAATACTATGTAACTTTACTTCTGGTGCATTTGAATGTTTAATTTTCTGATACTATGTAACTTTACTTCTGGTGCATTTGCTGCACTCCCTCTAAATAAATTTTGCTTCATGGCTGACTGCTTTTTTCATCCTTAGTCACTTCATCTATCACCAGTCTCTGGTACTCTTGCACACTATCTTTTCTTGTTTGCCTTGATATAAGAGCTGATGTTCTCAGTCTGACTGCAATTTCAGTATTATCTTCCTTGTTTGTTTTTCTGTCTTAATTTGGCCTTTTATAATCTCTGTGACACCACTGATCTGTATACTTTTCTTGTATTTGGGTATTTTTTTGGTTATTTTTATTAATTTCATTCTGTGTCTATTGATTCTACATTTCAGTATTTCCGCTGTCTGTGAGTGAAACGATTATTCTTTTTCAGAGATTCAGTCCTATATCAGTAGTCTTCCTGTCCCCAGTTTCAAATCTGTTCCCATTTAGATACGGCATCTATCATAGTCCGTCTATAAAACATTTTGTTTTATCCAAGGAAGCTTACTTTGCCTCCACTTAAACATTCAGTTTTGTGTTTTATGTGTATATACACACATTCAAATGTCATGATTGCTAAAGTATATTCTAAGAAATGAGAGTTATTAAAATCCTGTAATAGAAATGCAAAAAGATTGTGTCGTTTGTGCTCCTGAATGGGGGAACAATTGTTACACAGAAGAAATGGGATTTGTCCTTTCTTGAAGTATGGCCCCGTTAGCACAAGGCTCTACAATTTCTTTCTTTTCTTTCTTTTCTTCCTTTGCTGCTGTTCCTACTCAAAAAGGAAAAAAAAATTTTTGTCTTAGATTTCTTTTATCAAAACAGTTGAGCAGGTCAGTTTTAAATTTACTCATTTTTATTCTTCCACTAGTCTAGGATTATCATGGTTATCACTTCTGTGAATTATGTCAGTCTTGTTAAGTCTGCACCTGATATTTTTAATACTTTGTTTTAATATGTTATTGCAAAGCTATGACTGACTAGGATCTTGTGATTCCTGGCTCTCAGTAGTACAATATAATATACATTATATATAATCCATATTCCTGTTCCCATATATTTGAAAATCTGTAGGCAAATAATCACCTTATCACAAAAAAAACATGCTGTTTATCTTTGTACAGTCCCAAAGATAGATGTAGTTCTCCAGGCACTGCTGCACATCTGGTGAATATACTTTAATACTCCTGTTTTCTGATTACTATCCTTCAAAAGCAAAAGCTCATAAGATCTGAGAAATATTTATTCAGGAAAAAACATAGGTGAGAAAGGAAGAAGGGGAGAGAATAGATGGAATGCGTTTGATTTTAAGCAGAGAATGGCAGCCAGCTAGGCACTCAGAATAAAACCATAGAGGCTCTTCCACCAAGTCACCCATCCTTTCCTTTGCGATTTAAAGTAATATATACAGAAAATAGAATTAAAGAGTTCCAGCTCTGCTGTACAGGTTCCAAGGAGCCAGAAGATGGCTCTTGAAGGTCACGAACAGACTAAATCTCGTATGTAGGAGATGTGGTTACTGGCTTAGCCCTGCCTTTGAGATCCAGATCTACAGCCCCACCTGTGTACCCCTAACATCTCTAACTGATAGAGGAATTGGGTTTCTCAGATGCTGGTTTGCAAACATTTCAAATGTGAGGCTTTTTCTGGTTTTACCCTGGATTAAGAGAGCGCTTTGTTTCTTTCCAGGTACAGTCCGAACATTAAGTAATGCAGAGGAATACCTCGACGATGAAGACTCCGATTAGGTTTTTCCATTCAGCCTAAAGAACTATAACTTGCATTGCTTATGTCATTCCCAAAACATATCTTTACAACTGTAAAAATATCTTACTTAGAGTATTGCAGTCTTCCAATATAGCATATAAATGAGAGAGTGAAATCATGCTTTCCAAAGGAATAATCTTCATGTGTGCCAGAACATGCTGCATTTTAAATCAGAATTCCTTTGGAATTATCTCGCAGAGGAAGTGTGGCATACCCTTATCGTTCAATGGGCAGAGGACCATCTTCTAAACTCACAGGTTTCATCTCAGGCCTTCCCAGCAAGTGCCTTGCATCTCTGGAATACACTCCTCAACCTGAAAGGTCGCTTTGGGACAGCAGGACACCATTGCTAACATTTCCCAAAATATCCCTGGATATAGGTTCCTTTGTGCAGTTAAGATAATACTGGCAGAGTCAGTACTGGCTGACAGGCATGAATGGAGATGCTGCTATAGAGAGTGACCATCTTTTGCCCACATGGAGCCAGCAAGACAAGGTTTGATTTTTTTTTTTTTTTTTAATTGGTCCCCCCTCCCCCCCTCCTTCCTGTACCCCTCTAAGTAAGGGGTAGAATGACATGGGATGATCTGCCCCTGGATGCTTTTGTCTTCTCTATTGCTACAGGCCCAATCCCTGAAATGTAAACTCAGGTGATGTGCTTGCTTAAGTCAGTTTTGCTTGAGAAATACACTTAATTTTGGACTCGGTGACTTGATTATTTTGCTTTTTGAAGTGCATTATGCTGAAACTATTTGTAGTGAAAGGAAGACAGAGTATTTTTCTATTTATCCTGCCTAAAATTTTTTTTTACTGATCTCTTGCTTTTATTTTTTAAAAGTGTTCTTATATTTTGTGCTAAATTACCTCAAAGCTTAAGTGTGTTGGAAGGAATGAGGGAAGATGTATATCAAATATACCACAGGTATCTTTAGAAGAGATATCTGAAGCTGAATAAACATTTTAAAAATTTATTGCTTCTTCCTGTGAATTAAAGAGAACTAAAAAATAAATTGAGCCACTTTCAAGCTTCCCTGCAGAGTTAAAAAGTAAGTACTTCCTTGAGATTGCTTGAATAGCTGCAGCCAAATATTGTACCCTTCTGAGGGATGCTTCCTTACTGTGATGGTAAGAAAATGTTACAAGTATTTGAGATGTGATCTCATTTTCAGTTTTTGTTGCTAACTTCCATATTAGCAACTTTGACAGATGCAGACACAGCAGTCTGTGATACTTAAAAAAAAAAAAAAAAAA